ATCTTAATTTGATTATAACCAGAGAAACCATCCATGAAACAAAATACTTTGTGCTGAGCAGTTTTGTCAACCAGAACGTCAATATGCGGAAGTGGAAAGTCATCTGTGAGGCTTTCCCTACTCAGATCCATGTAGTCTACACACATACGCACTTTTCCATCCTTCTTAGATACTGGAACCGCATTTATAACCCATTGAGGATAGGACGTAACAGCTAAGAACCCTGCATTGAACTGTTTCATAACCTCAACTTTGATCTTTTCAGACATCTTGGGACGCATACGAAAAACCTTCTGTTTTATAGGAGGACAACCTTCCTTCATCAGTAGACGGTGAACCACAATGTCAGTATCAAGCCCTGGCATGTCTTCGTACGACCAAGCAAAGATCTCAACATAGTTACGCAACACCTGGATTAATCTCTTTTTGACACTGTCTTCTAGGTTGACACCTATCCTGACTTCTTTCTTGTCATCTTTAATACCCAAGTTCACAACCTCGACTGGCTTTTCATGCGGTTGTATGGCTCTTTCTTCTTGATCTAACAGTCTAACAAACTCTCCAGATACTTCACAATCTTCCTCACCTTCGTCCTCGGCTTGGTAGATTGGATTTTCGAAGTCATAATTGGCAATAGTAGAACTGTTATCAATGGGATCCAGGATGGATATGGATCTGTAATTTGTTGTGTGGGTGTGTGTAAGAACACATAGCAATTTTGAAAGCAATAAAGTAAAAGAAAGATAAAGAGCGCAAAATTTTAATGCAAACGTCCAATGATTTATTGAATGAAAATATGTGCATGAAAAATAGCAACCCTAACAAATGGACCGTTGTGCCCCGGGTAAGGCACAAGGCTTAAAGTTATTATTTAAAATTACATAACCAAAACTTGAAAGCAAGAAAACAGAAAATAGCCTTTACTCCTGACTAAAGGAGATTGGTATAACGTCTTCAGTCTTCCAATTGTTGAACCCGTTGTCGGTAGTAGGAAAAATCCGACTGTCTAGGTCATAGTCGTTATCAGCATCTTCTACCGCGTTTACTCCATTGTTATTGATGTGGAATGGTGGTCTTCCAGCACGAGCACGACAAACAACCCTCTGAGCCTCTACAGTGAAACCCAAACCAAATTTATCATATTTGTAAGGAATGTCGGGAAGCTGACCCCAAGTAGTGTAACCACCTTCTTCTACCACAACTCTAGCGTCTTTCAGAGAAGCCATTCTGGGTGAAACCCTGGTAACTTTAGGAATAGCAGAAATGTCTTCAGTATCGGTAGTTTTCCGAGGAATAACCTCAAAGGTCTGGCAGGGAGTTTCGACGAATTCGCCGTCCATCTCAACATACTTGAAGGAGTTCAAGTGACTCACCATGTACTCTTCTTCACCATAAAATGTAGCAATCTTTCCTTTCATGGGATATTTCAACTTCTAGTGCACCGTAGAAGTAACAACGCCTGCCCCATGAATCCAAGGGCATCCAAGTAAACAGGAATAAGTCGGACGAATATGCATCACATAGAAGGTAGAGTCAAAGACATTCGAACCTACTTTGATAGGAATATCCACCTCTCCGTGCACCATCCTCTTTGAACCATCAAAGGCTCTGACCACAATGTCATTGGGTTTCAGCACAACCCCTTCACAGTCAAGCCTGTCTAGAGCACCCTTCGGTAAAACATTCAACAAGGAACCCGTATCCACCAACACATGAGCTAAGGTAGTGCCCCTGCACTCAATAAAGACATGCATGGACTTGTTACGGTTCCTTCCTACAGGAGTCAAATCAACATCGGAAAAGCCTAGCCTGTTATTAGTCATCAAGCTAGCAACATAATTTTCAAATTGATCAGCAGAGATTTCTTGTGGTACATGAGCAGATTTCAAGAACTTCACTAAAGCCTGAGTATGGGATTCAGAGCACAACAATAAGGATAACATGGATATCTTAGAGGGAGTCTACCCCAGTTGTTCAACAATCTTGTAGTCACTCTTCTGAATAATCTTTAATACTTCCTCTATCTCTTGCTTGGAAGTATCTTCAGCAGTAACCTCTTTTGGTGCCTCAGTCTGGGAAGACTCAGTCATTTGTTCTTTCCCTCGAGTCTCAGTAGTTGATTTAGTAGCAGTAACATGAACTGGTGTAGCAACAGTCTTTGAAGAGATTTATGGAGAGAAAACCCTTCCACTTCTAGTAACTTTACTGGTCCCAGCGATATTGTCAATGTTGGGATCAGTAACTTCAGTATTTCCACCTTCAGTTTTGACGAATCTTGAGTCTTCTTGATGAATCATGGTCAATCTTTGATCAAATGATGAATGTGAGTTTAAAATATTAATATTGACCAAAAATCTTAAGGTTTGACTGTAAGTCGACCACAGTTGACTTTTTACCCAATATAGTTTATTTTTTGTCATTTGAGTAATTGACTGAGAAAACTTGTGATGCAAGGCTTGAAATTTAGCATGAGAACTCCTTGAGACATATGAGAAACCATGAAATCCACTTGAGGCATTAGAAGCTCAAATTTCTTTGGGAAAAGAGAAACCCTAATTGTAGGCCAACTGCTTAGGAGGAGAATTTGTCTGATCAAACCTTGAGTAGCCTTGAGCAATTGAAAACCCTATGGACATAAGGAGATATCTTAAAGAAAATGGGAGAGAAAATTTTAGGGTACAATAGTCCCTACCACAAGCTTAAATGTATTTCTCATATTTTTTTATTGTGATGCCTACAAAGTAATACATATGATGTAGAAAACACCCTTGCAATCAAATTCATCAATATGGTATCTCGATCTATGTGTTTTCTTGGTCTTTCAACATAGTCTAACACACTTCTAAAGTTCAAGTAGCATTGTCCAAATATGCAAACCAACTAAAAAGGTCATCTCCGTAGAAATAAGACCAACAATTTCCAGAAGTGGGAGCATGTACTTGTTGGTCTTATATGTTGAATATTTATGAGCATAATGGAAAATGTGTTGAACAACTTGAGGGAATCAAAATGAGTCCAAAATATATCTCAAACAGTGACGTCATCCTTGCACACTTTGTATCTATATACATAATGATCATCATCAAAAAACTTCAATAGTTGTTCCATTTTAGTTCTTAGGCCTCTTATCGCCTTGTTGTTTCGAGCATGAACATTGTATATTTGCTTAGTATTTGAAACATTATGAGGTTTTTTTCTGTTTCAAATTGCAAGTATATTTTTGGGTTGCACCATGTTCAATGTCATGTCAGAAACAAGGTCATTCTCTTCACAATTAAAGTGGTTTAAATGTCCATGTATTATTCGCCTTAAGATATTCGTACAACTTAAAAGGACACTCACATTTTCTCGAACAGGTGTCATCACGTTTCAACTTCTAAATAGGTTTTATGTACTTGTCACTTCTTTCACATCTCATTGTCACAAACATTGGTCTTCTATCAGAACCAGATCTAACCTCTCGATTACAATGCTAAATCTCAATTTTGTAACCTCTGTGTGAATCCATTAAAGCATATGTTCATGAACAACAAACTCCTTTTTATTTATAAATTGGTTATAAACATCTTTATCGACATCAACCAGTTTAACATCTATAAACCCAATAGATTTGAATACAGCATTAAGGTGCACCATTATAGTAACCAATAATAACATAATCAAATTTAAATTCAACATGAAAACAGTCTAGAATTAAACTTCATGAAAACATGCAACATTATACGGACATTAACTTCTAGATGCAATGTTCATTTTTAAACAACTACATCAAATTCTTACAAACAATGAGGAAAAAAATATATGTACATTATCTTAAATTCTAACTTTTTTTACTTCTTTTGATGTGAAAAAAACATAACAATGTGATTTTGAAGTATAAAACCTGATTGAAAATAGAAGGAAATTTATGTAAGGTTTAGTGAGTATGGTGATATGATCATGAAATGAAAAGTACATGCAAGGTGGTGTTTCCCACATGATAATTCTAAAAGTTAAATTGTGTATTCTCCACTGACAGTTCTGAAATAAACACATTATAATGAATTTAAAATGTATCCAGAGATAAGTTCGAAACTTAACTTACATACTCGTTATTCCATCAATACGGACATGAACTTTCAAACTATATTTTGGTAAAATGGAATGGCTCATGTACAAAGTAGTTTGGTGTATTTTGGGAGACGTCTAAAAGTTAGTTTCCGTATTATTCCAAAGACATTTTTAGATTTCATAAGAGTGAGAAGAGCAATCCCCTAAATTAACACATTACTTTTTAAGTAAGACTTTCTCATAATGGACTCTTGGATTTTCAACTACGCTTTCATTTAATGACACTTCACTCTCTTGTTACGGAATTCTCCATCATCAAAACCCTCCACTCCTCTTGTCAGAACCCTTCGAGGGTTAGGCCATTATGAGAAGTCAACTCTCAACCAAAACACCAATCTCAGAAGCGTAAAGGGAAAATTCAACCTAAAAAAAGTCAGTATATTGACACGAAAAGCACTTGAACTTTAGCCTCACTTCTAGGTGAGACTCGGAAAATAAGCTGAACAATAACACACTTCTTTTTAGAGCTGCAAGTTGCAACTACAAGCTTGATAAAGACCCTAATCAAATCAACAAAATCAAGTTTCTCCTTCAACAAAACCATCATTCTTATGCTTCAACCAAAGCATCTAATCTCAAACAGATCCCAACTTTGGCAACCATGAACAGGACTAGCAAGAAACTTTTCATCTTTGACAATGCAAATTAGAAGATGTAGAAATCGGGAGTGACGTAAGCATTCCTACATTGTGTTCAAGTTTTATGGACACTCACATTTAGTTTGAAGAACCATATATGGTCTGGAGACACAAAACATTAGCTATTTCAATGTTACATTATTTACATAATTTTAAACGCATAGAAACCAATGAAGAGAATGGATACGAAAACTTCTAACAGGTATCTTTGCACTGATAGAGAAAACTAAGAGTCTACAACATTTTAAAACGTCAACTCGATGAGTTCAAACCTTTTTTAAGATTTCTAAGAATGGTCCACATGAATGTGGAAACAAAGAAAAGGATGATACCAGTAATGATGGCATACTTCAGGCCAAGGTTCACCAGCAAATTTACGAGCAGCCCGGCGAATACAACACCAAAGAAATTTGCAGATACGCCAGTCCAAAACGATATATCGAGAATCGACGCTATAATGGCTCCTGACCATGCTCCTGTTCCAGGAAATGGGACAGCCACAAACAGCATCAGACCAAGCCACTGAAACTCCTCCACTGGTCCGGCTTTTGCTTTGGCATTCTTGAACAGAATGTCGAGGAATCGTGATGCAGAAGGGCTTGTAGAAGCGAGGAAAGATGCAAACTTTTTCAAGTAAAGTATGATGAATGGCACAGGTACCATGTTCCTACATCAGTTATATAGACTTTGTTCATTAAACCAGAAAAAGCTACTGCCAAAGACAAAATCAATTATGTCAACTATTTGTTCAAATTCCGCTATGCTACAGTGCTACGGCGCTGCCATGGCCAGTACTTGACAACAATTTGTATTAAATAGAGTATCACAGAACACTAGCGATTTGTTCAAATTTCACTACGCTATAGCATTGCTACAGACACTGGTAGAAGCATTCAAAACTCTATGTAGCATGAACAGTTCTCCTTCTTGAGGTATCAGAATAAAAAACAACTTGTTCCTAATACTGAAACCCATTCACCCATTTGACACATGTATAATCCCTTTCAAACACTCCTCATTTGAACTCCTATTGGAAGAATCACTTTTAACAAACTTGGACACTTAGCTAACACTTAAATAAAGCTCAACACCAGAAGTTAAAACTATCAGAAAAATCAACTTATTTAAACAAGTTAATGCCTAAAAGTTGTTAAAATTTCTTCATCCTTGTATTCAACACATGCAGATTAGCATTGTCAAGATTGATTCCTTTTTAACTAATACATGCTATACACACACATAGCGAGTGTGTTCATGAAGGAATTTTAGGTTGCCTAAACCACAATTGAAGATACAACGGCCACAATTGACTATGATTCTTCGCAGTATCAAGAATTGTAAAGCAACCGCGGCCACAATTGAGGATACAGTGGCTACATTTGACCATAATTCATTGCGGTATCATGAACTGCAATGCGGCCTCAACCGCTACTTAAAACCCTACATCCCACTTAAAACTACTAAGAATTAATCAACTAACAACTAACATTTGATGTTAAAAAGTATCAAATTTTCTCCTCTAAAAAAAGGTTTTAGAGAAACAAGAAGAAACTAACCCAAGAATGGACACCACAGTCAAAGTTACAGGGTTGAGTTGCAACCAGTAACCAACGGGTATAGCCCCGCGAAGCTCTAGAACAGGAAGAGCAGCAATTATAAACACAACAACCCAATCAGGAAAACCCAATTTCCTCAACGAATCAGCGATCTTCAACCCAAATCCAGAAGCTTTAATAGAATCAACAGCAGCATTAGCATCCTTAGAATAAGCAAACCAAGCCAAAGACAAAGAAGCCCAGAAAACCACCCAGAAAGCAAATTTAACCGGCTTTTCTTCATAAAAAATCAACCTTTCAGGCTCATCAATAGCACCCAAACACTGCTTAGAAGTATATTTGATTTGGGTGGGAGCTATTTTTGCAAAAGAATGTGTAGAACCATAATGAAGGGTTAATGAGGTTTTGGGTTTAAGAGATGGTTTTGGGTTTAAGATTAGAGAATGGGGGTTGAAAAGTGAGATTCTTTGATGCGGCTTTGTTGTGAAACAGCATGGGGATGATAGTGATAAAGCTGAAGAAGCCATTAGAGACCAAAAAAAAATTTGTTTGGTGGTAGTTATGGAAGTTAAAATGGTTGGTTATGAGTATGAGATTCTCGAAGATGGGTCATGGGTTCTCTGAGTAATTGTGAAGGGTGCATTAGAAAACAAAAACAAACGGAGTTCACAACGTGGTTCTGAATTCTGCGTTTTTTTTGTTGCTGAGGAGAGATTGACCCTTCGAGAGTGAGAAGCAGAAACTTTAGGAAGCGACGGCACGCACGTGTGTTTACCGGTGATTTTGGAAAACAATTACTTAGTTTTAAAATAGTTAGTGGCAAGATTAAACTAGAAAATTGTAGGGCATTCTATGCGTGATTTTTCGAAAAAGTGTTTGATTGTTGAAGTATAGAAATCGATTATAAATTTATAGAAAAATGGAGAAATTTTTAAGGAAATAAGGGTTTCGATTGAGGTCGAAGATTTTGTAAAATAAAGTGTAAACGAAAAAGTAAACACTTGAAAAGATTGGTGAAAAGTAAATGAAAAAGACTTTGTTTAAATTTATAAAGATTGGTATATAGAATCGGACATATTTTTTCATAGACTTGTTTCTCATTTTAACTTGGGTACTTTAAGTTTTTAGAGTTTTCAAAATATTGTTACCCTGAATCCTAGCACTAGAATTATTATATATACTGATACAAAAATAACTGTCTAAAACAGTTATGTTTCTAACAATCGACATGTATTTTACTACATATTTTTCATCCTTCTAACTTGCTTTCATGGGTCTTCTATGCATGGATAAAATCAAAAAACAGTTACTCAATCAAACCACTTCATTTTGTTCCAATTGTCGCCATCGACCACCAATCTTGTCGAACACTTGAGAACAATATTTTTCACAATCTGATAAATATGCAAAGTCCCATTTCTTAGGGTTAACATGGTAAATCCGACAACAATGGTCCAAAATCACTTTTGTCGAACACATCCCCAAATATTATCATTTTTTACTAAGTATTACCTCGACACCCTTTTCTTGCGTCAAGTTCATCATGTCGAAAATCTCATGCTAACAAATAGATCCCCTAAATACAACTTTCGACCATTCGAGAGACATTGACATTTTTGAAACTTCTAAATGTTCCAAGTAATATGTTGACATCATCACTATCGTGACTACTTTACCAAAATGTCTTTTCGAGACGTGCACCACAAAATCTTCATCATGAATCAACTTTCCCAAGAAGAGCATGAACCGCAAAGATCAAAACTCTTTATTCCGCCTCTTAACGAAGAACATGTGTCACCTAAAAGGATGTCATGTGTTTGACTTTAAGATAGAAATAAAAAAGAGAAATGAAGAGTTTTCTTCATCACTATAAATACATTTATCCCTTTCCATTTTCTTTTCCTCCACTTCTTCATCGTCTCAGTTTTCGGGGAGAAAAAACCTTTGAAAAAGCTTTCACATTTCATCTTATCCACATTACTCACGTTTTCTACAACCATGGTTTCTTCATCAAATCCAGAAAAGACATTACCTCTTGCTGCAACAATAAAAGTCCCCATTCTTGTTGGAAATCAAGTTTATGTTCTAGAGCCACCCATAAAGGAAGAAAAGACTAAAGTTTTGAAATCCCATGTATGCATTCCTTTCTTTGTTTTTGATAAAATTCATGCATTCCTAGGTCGAGTTCCAGATCTTAAAGGAAATATTCCCTTGTTATCACCGTACCAAACCTCTTGTTTTCCTAAACCAAACTTATGGCCTAAGCTTTATGAGCGCTCCTTATCGCATTTTATGTTCTGCAACTTACCTCCAACAAAAAGATTTTATTAAGTAGCTATACAAGATAGAATCAAAGAAGGCACTGTTAACTGGAAATTTCGACTACATGAGTTTTAGTTGAATTAATACATTTTGGATGATGTGATTCGAGGGAGAGAATAAAAGAGTCCATGAGAAGACTTTGATAAGTGAACAACTAAAATTGAAGCTTTAATTTTGCTAAGTGTTAGCAAAAGGTCTGTATATAGACCATAGAGATATCAAGTTTATTCGAAGTATCAATGAGCATACTTCGACCGTCACGTTTTGGCGCTTCGAAGATAAGGAGTTTCAAATTCAAAAAGATTGATCTTATCCAAAGAGACACATGGAAGCTTGGAGTTCGAAGATACATGCAATTGTCGAACGTGGTGTCATATTATTTAGAGACCGTTTGGTCGAAATTAGTATAAATAGGGGTCTTAGTGTAAAGATTCAGTGTGTTCACATATTTTATACAAATACTCAAATCACTTAAAGTACCAGCGTCAAGAGAAAAGAGTTTGCGAGAATGTACGTATGATGCATCATTTTTACATTTATAGTCATTCTATTTTATTTGAAGTTTTATATATTCCATTTAAATTCCAGTCGAAAGACTTTTACATTTCAGTCTTATCTTTAAAGTATTATGTTATTGTTTACGAAATAATAATTGAAATAACATTTATCTAAAATAATGAAGATGTTGTTAAAAATACTCTTTGTTATAAGAATAAAAACATTAAATAAGAATACATGTACTTAGGATCAATCTGATCGATCCCGTAAGTTACCATTTCTACAAAAATTTGGAAGATCAGCGGTTGTTTACCAAATTCCACGGTAAACAAATTGGCACGCACAGTGGGACATTGTGTTCAATTTCTTATTTGGAAATTTTTCTATTCCAGTCTAAAAAGTTCTTTGAAATTATTCATTATCTTCTTGTATTTTTCTGTGTTGTATGAAACTTAGGAGTGGTAAATTAGCCATAAATAACAAGGAAATACCCAAAAGATTAGGAGAATGGTGAATCAAGGCCAGGAAGGAAATCACAATCCTCCTAACAATGATGAAGTGCCACCTCTAGTCACTTCGACAGGGGGAAATACGGGTTATCCACCTTCTTCTGAGGCCATACCGTCGTTAACAATTTCGACGCCAACACAGTCGAATACTTGCACAGGCCCTCTATTAACTTACACAAGCCCATAGAGTTCACAAGGAACCCCCTCTAGGGAAAATATTTTTCATAGGCCTCAGGGGCCACCTGGTTTTTCCATGCCTCAAAATGATCATGAATGGCCTTATGGCATGCCATCTTCGTTTATGATGGGGTTATATAATCCTACTTCAACATATTCAGATTTTGTGATGAACGTGACTTTGCCATTACAAGGTTCTGGGTCTGCAGTTAATAACAGGGGTCGAAATATCCAACCACCAATCGAAGGAGTTTCATCCCAAATACCAAACTTAACAAATCAATATGCATGAGTGATTAGGAAGCAAATGGACAAGAGTAATTATGAAATGCTCCAGATGCTTGCACAAACTATAGGGATAATCTTCAACCCTTTGATCGAGAACACCACTCAAGCGAACCAACAGATGATTGCGCAAATGATGTGCATCGCTGACTTTTTTGGTGTACCCCAGCCAACAACGTGTTCTCAGAGGGAGTTGGCTAGGGAAAACCAAGGGTTAGTCTTGGAAGAAGACCCAACAATTAACCAAGTTCAATCAAAGAAATCCACCTCAGACAAATATGATGAATCAATTAGGGGTAGTCGAAGTACCCAGGGTTGCAAGGCAGGCAAAACCTAGAGTTGTGATGGTAAATAGAAACCAAAATGTTGATGAAGTTTTATATCAAGTTCGACAAAACAACATAGCAGTAGATAACAATCTAGCAGCCATGGTTGAAAGGATTAAGGCACGAAATGGTGTGCATGTAAGCCTTACTAGGCCAAATTATACTCCCCCCTTGTCTGAATACATTTTACAAACTGAATTTCCCAAGGGTTGGAAAGTCCCAAAGTTCATAAAATTCTCTGGTGATACTAGTGAATCAACTATCGAACATATAGCCAAGTATCTTACCGAGGCTGGGGACAAAGAAAACAATGAGAACCTAAGGATAAAATATTTTCCTAGTTCACTAACCAAAAATTCCTTTACATGGTTTACTACCCTTGCAACAGGTTTTATCCATAATTGGGCGAGTTTATAAAGACTATTCCATGAACAATTCTATGTAGGTCAGTCGAAGATAAGTCTCTATGAATTGGCCAACATTAAGCGTAAGTTTAGTGAGCCAATTGATGATTATCTAAGTAGATTCTGTATGTTAAAAGAAATATGTTTCAACCAGGTACCTGAACATGAATTAGTTGAAATGGCCGCGAGAGGATTAGATTTTTCCATCAGAAAGAAATTGGATCCCCATTACTTAAGGGATACGGCCCAATTAGAAGATAGGTTTCGATAAGGGGAACGCTTAAAATCGAAAAGGATAGAGCAAACAAGAACCATAGGAAAGAAAGAGTTTCTTATGTAGAAACAGCCATAGACGAACAAGAAATGTGTGTCGAAGCCTCGAACTTCGAAGAGGACGAAGTTGATTTAGCTGAGTTAAAACAAGGACCACCATATCCTTGTAAAGTCCTGGCTCCTTCAAATGGCAAAAATCTAGTCGAACCTGACAAGAGTCATAAATTCTCTAAAAGAACTTATACTTTCGACGTTACAAAATGTGACGAAATATTCAACTTATTAATAAAAGGTGGTCAAATGATATTACCACTTGGTGCTAAAATTCATTCGTTAGATCAACGAAAGAAGGGGAGTTTTTATAAATATCACAATTTTTAGGCCATAAAACCTCACAATGTTTCCTTTTCAGGGATCTGATTCAAAATGCCATCAAAGAAGGATGGTTGGAGTTTGGTGACAAAACCAAGCCACAAATGAAGGTAGATGTTGATCCTCTAAACGTGGAAGAAACAAACTACGCCGAACCAGTTTCTATCAACATGATGGGGACCGTTAACAAAGTTGATCCAAACCTGAAGGCAATAGAGGCTACTGAAGGATTCTGCAACAAACGATCTGTCAACCAGGCTACTGAAGGCCTAATGAGCCAGAAATTCAAAGACAGTGTTACTGAGAATGTTGTTTCAAATGCTGAAATGTTGGAGACCACTGAAGGTCTCAGGGTTAAGTT